TCACACAAAATTGTTTTTCTCCATATCTTCATCCAGCAAAGTTCATAATTGTCTATTAAGACAGCTTTCTCATCTGCATCATGATCTATGACATTCTCAGCCAAATCCCACTTTTTTCTCACCAAAAACATTCACACCTCTCCTTTCTCTCCAGCAAGATCGCAAATACAGAGCCTCCAGCTCTGAAGAGACTCTGGTTCTCAGTCTCCATGTTCGCTGAACATAGACTCTGGACCCATGGCCACTTCCTTCTGCAACTCCAAGAAAAATGGGAGTGTCCACCTTCCCAGAGAGAAGGGCCCAAACTTTTATTGAAGTTTGAAGTCATAAAACATATCAGTTAAATTGTTTGCACAACCTTTACCACCCTCTCTCAGAATTACAATCTTTTGAATGTTCTATTTCATGCTTTGGTACTTTTTCTACTTTAAAGCCTCAACACCATATAGGTACTGGTATAATAATTAAATAACTAAAAATTACTTGTAGGAATTTCTCCTAAGGAAACAATGGGTCATGCAAACAAAGATTATATACAAGAATATTGATGGCTCAAAATAGTAAGACTTAAAGCAATCTGTCCAGTGGCAACCCTGATGGTATTGCTCAGTGGTGAGCATTGACCCATGCACCAAGAGGTCACAAGTTCAATTCCTGATCAGGGTACATGCCCAGGATGTAGGCCAAATCCCCAGTAGGGGCCATGCTGGAGGTGGCCAGTTGATGTTCTCTGTCTTCGATGTTTCTATCTGTCTCTCCCTCACCCTTCCTCTCTCTCTAAAATCAACAACAACAAACAGATTAAATAAATAAATAAATAAATGTCCAGTGGCAGAGAAGTTGCAGAGAACTGCTTAAATAAAAGTTCACTCAGCCCAGCCAGTGTGGCTCAGTGGTTGAGCATCAACCCATGCACCAAGAGGTCACCGGTTTGATTCCCAGTCTTGGCAAATGCCCAGGTTGTAGGCCAAATCCCCAGTGGGGAGCATGCAGAAGTCAGCCAATCAATGTTCTCTCACATCAGTTGATGTTTCTATCTCTTTCCCTTCCTCTTTCTCTAAAATCAATATAGAAAAAAATTTTTTTAATAAAAATTAAAGTTTACTCATATTATGCAGTAATCTAAAATGTATACTGTAGATGTATAGGTATATATATAAAAAGATGTTTATAAACTATTATTAAGTGACAAAAAGCAAGTTAGAAATCAATAAATTATGTAATATGATACAGAGAGAGAGAGAGAGAGAGGGTAGAGGTGGCGTATAGGCCGACAAGTCTCAGAGGAGGGGGTGGGGGTTGTAGGGGAAGAGATAAACCACAGAACTTATATGCATGTATGCATGACCAATGAACATAGACAACAAAGCTGGGGATGAAGCAGGGAGGGGGGGAGGAGGGTGTCAATGGACTAAAAATGAGAAACATCTGTAACAAAAACAAATTAATAAATAAAAGATTTTTAAAAAAGAGAGACAGATAAAGAGAGAGAAAATTTACAAGAATATATACCAACAAGTTAAAAGGCAGAATGATTTAAAAAAAATTTTCTCATCTATATATTTTTTATTTTTTCATAATGAGCATGCATTTTTACTTAGATTTTAAAAGGGTTAAAAAAACTGGGACTTCCTGTCAAGATGGCTGCGTAGGTAAACTGTCTCACCTCCTCCCACAACCAAATCAAAATTACAGAACAAACATCATTCAGAACCACCTGAAATCAAGCTGAATGGAAGTCCTACAACTACAAAATTAAAGAAGAAGCCACATCAAGACTGGTAGGAGGGGCGGAGGCACAGACCATGATGAATAAAAATCAGAAAGATCACCTCGGTTGTGAAGGTCTTTCCTGAGGTGTGAGGGTCCCCGTCCCACACCAGGCTCCCAGCTCAGGGTTCCAGTGCCAGGAAGAGAAGTCCCCATCACTTCTGGCTGGAAAAACCAAGGGGAACTTAGGCTGAGGTAGGCTGAAGCTGCTGAAGTCCCAGGCAGCTCCCCTTAAAGGGCCTGCTCATGGACTTTCCTGAACTTGCTCCCTCTGAGCTCCAATGTGAAGGAGGCAGCTCAAAAGGCACCAGAAACATGCAGGGAAGAACTGAGTTGTTTGGCATTGGGACAAAGGCTGGAGAGGCAGCTTTCTCCTGGACAGATGTGCTAGTGGAGGCTGATGTTCCTTTGGTGAGCTCTTCCCAAGGCCAGCAGACAGCCGCCATATCTGGGACTCCAGCAACAGAGCTCACACTGTTTGCCCCACCCTGGTGATTCCCTGAGGCCCTGCCCCACCCAATTTTCAGGCCCACCCAAGCTATTCCCAGTGGATTTACCATAGGAATGGCCAGTCTTGGATCCTGCTTCAGACCACTTTGTAGCTTATGGCTGGTGGCCCCAGGTAGAACACAAGCAGTGGCTGACCTTGCCCCAGAGCCAGCACACCCAGTGGACAGCTTCAGAACACTGTGAAGCAGCACCACCCAACCACCTCCACAATTGACACACTAAAGGAATGGACTCAGTGGATACCAGAGCCTTGCTGAAGTAAGTCTTGCTCTGTATGGTGGGCCCCTGAACAGCTGATCCTCCAAGGTAGTCAGAGGTCAGTGGATAATGGGCACAGCCAGTCCTTACAGCTGATCAACCTGAGTAAAATCCTCTCACTGATGTGCCAACAGCAATCAAGAGTCAATTACAATAGAAGAGTGTAAAGTCCACACGAGGGTTATACCTTGAGGGCTCAGCTGGGAGACCAGGGAGGCTGTGCCACTGGACCCTACAGGACACCTAGTAAAATAGGCCACCCTAGGAAGCCCAGGAGACATAGCAACTCCACGTAATACTTAGAAATAAACACAGGGAGGCAGCCAAAATAAAGAGACAAAGAAATATTTCCCAAATGAAAGAACAGAACAAAACTCCAGGAAAAGAACTAAACAAAATGGAGATAAGCAATCAACCAGAGGCAGAGTTCAAAACACTGGTTATAAGGATGCTCAAGGAACTTAGTGAGGACCTCAAGAGCATAAAAAAGGACCAGTCAGAAATGAAGGATGCACTAACTGAAATAAAGAATAATTTATAAGGAATCAGTAGATTAGATGAAGCTGAGAAGCAAACCATCAATTTGGAATATAAGAAAAAAAAATACCCAATCAGAACAGCAAAAAGAAAAAGAACCCAAAAAATGAGGATAGTGTAAGGAACCTCTGGGACAATTTTAAGCATACCAACATTCACATTATGAGGGCCCCAGAGGAGAAGAAACAGAGAAAAATATTGAAAGCCGTTTTGAAAAAGTAATAACAGAAAACTTCCCTAACTTGGTGAAGGAAATAGACATACAAGTCCAGGAAGCACAGAGTCTCAAACAAGATAAACCCAAAGAGGCTCACACCAAGACATATCATCATCAAAATGCAAAATGTTCAAGACAAAGAAAGAATTTTAAAAACAGCAAGAGAAAAATAGTTAGTCACCTACAAGGGAGTTCCCATAAGACTGTCAGTCAGTTTCTCAAAAGAAACTTTGCAGGTAAGAAGGGAGTGGCAATAAATATTCAGAGTGATGTAAAGCAAGAACCTACAAACAAGATTACTCTATCCTGCAAAGCTATCATTTAGAACCAATGGCCATATACATAAAGAGTTTTCCAGAAAAGAAAAAGCTAAAGGACTTCAATACAACCAAACCAGTATTATATGAAATGTTGAAGGGTCTTCCTGAAGAAAAAGAAAAAGAAAAAGAAAAAATATGAAAAAAATGGCAATAAATACATATCTATCAACAATTAGCCCTGGCCGGTTTGGCTCAGCGGTTAGAGCGTTGGCCTGCGGTTCGGAGAGACCCGGGTTCGGTTCCCGCTAAGGGCACGTACCTTGGTTGCAGTTTGTCCCTGGCCCTGGTTGGGTCTTGCGGGTGGCAACCACTCGATGTGTCGCTTTCACGTCGATGTTTCTCTCTCTCTCTCTCTCCCTCTCACTCTATCTGAACAAAATATCGAAAAATGTCCTCGGGTGAGGATAAAAAAAAAAACAAAACAACGAAAAAAAAAACAATTAAATCTACAAACAAAATGAACAAGCAGAACAGAAATATTCTCATAGATACAGAGAACATTTTCTTGGTTGCCAGATGGGAGGGGGGTAGAGGGAATGGGTGAAAAAGGTGAAGGGATAAGGAAGTACAAATTGGTTGTTAGACTGACAAACCTCAAAGGGAATGGGGGAGAAGGGGTGGGAAGGAATAAACCAAAGAACTTATATGCATATATGTATAACCAATGGACAATGACAACAGTGTGGGGAAAGGCAGGAGGGAGGCGGGAGTGGGGAGGAGGAGGTCAATAGGGGAAAAAGGGGGAACATTTGTAATATGTTCAACAATTAAGATTAAGTTTAAAGAAAAAAGAAAACTGTATATAAGATAAAAAACATACAGTGAATCCTAGTAAGAAGCCTCTATGAATAAATTACCTAAGTTTTAGTGTAACTATACAACCAAACAAAATCCAGAACAAAGGAATCAAGAACACAGAACACAGGTAGAATTAGATCCTTTTTTTTTTTTTTTTTTTACTGTGGCCTTGGGAAAGCTCAGTCAAAATACCCCAGGACCTTGGGGAGAGCTGAGTTGTGCGTAGGAAGCTACCAACGTGTCTTGCAAAGTTGTGCTGTTTATTTACAGCTCTGTAAATTGAGTTTGAAGAGCTCCTGTTGTGCATGCAGGTTGCTCCTGGCATACACCAAACTAAGGCCAGGAAAACATGTTTGAATCTAAATGACCCCAGTTATTCTCTATGGATGGCCATGCCTGGAACAGGAGTTTATACCACTCTGTCTAGTCACTGAAGACGAGGTAGGAAGCCAAGGTTTTAGTCTGCATTCCATAAGAATCAGTCAGTTAGCACATCAAAAGAGAAGAAAAGACATGTCTATCAATGCTTTAGCCTTGGAAAGTGAAAAGCACTTTGTCGGGTTTTCTTTACAAATTGGGATTGTGCTTACGTTTCAAAGGCATTATCATCAGCAGCAGCAGCTTTTTGAAAAAGGTTCTCTCTGGCCTCTAGAAGTTGACTCACTGTTGTCACAGCAACTATTTTTGCCTGCCAGGAAGAAGACACCCGTCATCATAGAGAACATATATCATACATCATCATGACCATCATTATCATGAATTATTATGGTATCAAGTGGAATTAAAGGCTTAGTTTTTTATTTACATAAGATGGCAGAGAGAATAAAGATGAGGCACAGTGAAAGTATAAATTAAGACAGTCAATTAGGGAGCTTAGGTCTCTGAATTTGACCTCATAACAAAGTTCTTTACAGGACCTCCACCTCATCCCCAAGAACACAACAGCAGATGCTTGGATGCGAAAACTGGAACAAAATAATAAGAGTGCAGGGCTTTGGTTGTCAGAACATTACAGCTCAAAACATTTAATATAACTTAATAGTTACACTTAGTTGTACCTATTAGACTTTGTAAAATTATTTCTAGTTTTCTTATAATTAAAAAATCAGGAGTGCATTGAAAACAATTTCTCAGAATTTAGTTACTGTTTAACTGCCCTCTTTTAGGGTTATTAATACCCTTCTGTCTTTATTTATTTATTTAACTTATCTTTATTATTGAATGTATTACAGATGTTCCTCATTTTTCCCCCATTGACCCCCTCCTCCCCACTCCTGTCCCCCTCCTGCCTTTCCCCACACTGTTGTCTGTGTCCATTGGTTATGCATATATACATATAGGTCCTTTGTTTTATTTCTTCCCACTCCCCAACACTCCTTCCCTTTGAGGTTTGTCAGTCTAACAATCAATTTGTACTTTTTTATCCCTTCACCTTTTTCACCCATTCCCCCAACCTTCCTCTCATCTGGCAACCAACAAATATTCTCTGTATCTATGAAAAGGTTTCTGTTCTGCTTGTTCATTTTGTTTGTAGATTCAATTGTAGATAGATATGTATTCATTGCCATTTTGTTTGTTCATACTTTTTTTTCTTTTTCTTCAAGAAGACCCTTCAACATTTTATATAATAATGGTTTGCTTGTGATGAACTCCTTTAGCTTTTCCTTGTCTGGGAAACGCTTTATATGGCCATAAATTCTAAATAACAGCTTTGCAGGATAGAGTAATCTTGGTTGTAGGTTCTTGCTTTTCATCACTCTAAATATTTATTGCCACTCCCTTTTGGCCTGCAAAGTTTCTTTTGAGAAATCAGTTGATAGTCTTATGGGAACTCCCTTGTAGGTAACTAACTGTTTTTCTCTTGCTGCTTTTAAGATTCTCTATTTGTCTTGAACCTTTTGCATTTTGATGATGATGTGTCTTGGTGTGGGCCTCTTGGGGTCCATCTTGTTTGGGACTCTCTGTGCTTCCAAATTGATGGTTTGCTTCTTGACTTTACCTATTCTACCATTGAATCTGTGTAAATTATTCTTTATTTCATTTAGTGCCTCCTTCATTTCTGACTGGTCCTTTTTTATGCTCTTGAGGCCCTCACTAATTCACTGAGGTTCTCACTGAGTTCATTGGGCATCCTTATAAGCAGTATTTTGAACTCAGCATCTGTTAGGTTGCTTATCTCCATTTTGCTTAGTTCTTTTCCTGGAGTTTTGTTCTGTTCTTTCATTTGGGACCTGTTTCTTTGTCTCCTCAATTTGGCTGCCTCCCGTGTTTGTTTCTATGTATTACTTAACAAGAGGTATGGGGCTAGCTGAGACCAGATGCTGCTTTTTTGCAAGAATTTAGAAAAACCTGAAGCAGGATCCAAGACAGGCCAATCCTATGGTAAACAACTGGCAACAGCTTGCATGGGCCTAAAAGTTGGGTGGGGCAGGGCCTCAGGGTTCCACCAGGGTGGGGCAAACAGTGTGAGGCAGCTTGCTGGAGTCCCAGATATGGTGGCAGTCTGCCGTCCCAGGGAAGGGCTCACCGAAGGAATAAAGGCCTCTGACAGCACGTTTGTCCAGGAGAAAGCTGCCTCTCCAACCCACACTCCAATGCCAAACAACTCAGTTCTTCCCCATATGTCTCTGTGCCTTTTAAGCTGCATCCCACACGCTGGAGTCTGGAGGGTGCGAGTCTGAGTAAGTCCATGCACAGGCCCTTTAAGAGGAGCTGCCTGGGGCTCTAGTAGTCTCAGCCTCCCTCAGCCTCAGTTCCCGTTGGTTTTCTAGCCAGAAGTGATGGGGACTTCTCTTCCTGGCACTGAAACCCTGAGCTGGGAGCCTGTTGTGGGATGGGGATCCCTCAGTCCTCACAGAGGACCTACCTAGCCAAGGTATTCTCCTAATTTTTATCCGCCACACATGGGTGTGGGACCAGCCTGTCACGCCTCTACCCATTCTACCAATCTCAATGTGGCTTCTTCTTTGATTCTGTAGTTGTAGGACTTCCATTCAGCTTGATTTCAGGAGGCTTTGAATGGTAATTGTTCTATAGTTTAGTTGTAACTTTGATGTGGTTGTGGGAGGCCGCAATACCACGTTTACCTATGCTGCCATCTTGACCGGAAGTCCCTCTCCTTCTGTCTTTATTGACTAATCTTTTCATAAATTCTACATTGGGTGGTCATTATTTTTCTCTTTCAATTCTATTTTTATTAATTTATTATTTTAATCCCAGTTAATTTCTGAAGGATCTAGTATAACATAAAATAATTTTTTTAAATAAAATATTTAAAAGGAATAGGAGAAAAGAGTAGATATTTTCAGGCCATGCTGATACTCAGCTGGTAAACACTGGGTCAGTTCATATTGGTGTTTTATAACCCCAGTACCCAAGCTGTGCCAGATGGTAAAGATTGACTATAGTTATTTTCAGGTACCAGAGTTTAGAAGTTTATAATGTCAGAAATGCAGACTAGGCTTATGTTTTTTAAAAGCCAAAACTAAAAATGCAAATATGCTTAGCAGAAAGAGATCACAGTTTAAAATATCATGTTCCCAAGTGAGTTCCTGGGAACACCAGTTACTTGGACTTGAATAGAGATGCTGAGGTCAAACGCGGTTGGTAAACATATTAATAAGATGAAATAGATTTGTTTCTTACAGGCTTTCCAGATTTAACAGGTTAATGATCATTGTGATTATCCTGAAAGAGAATACTTGAATAAAGAGCCCTTTTTCTATTTATTTGAGCATGTCACAGAAAGAGTGCTCTTCAAAATAGTTTTAACCTAAACCATACCCAAGTCCATATCCTGGAATAAGGAATAAAGTTGGGGATGACATTCTTTCTTTCTTCCCCTCCCTTTTTAAAAAACCTTGTGAGTTTTACCTCACTTGAAGCATTTCTGGATTCGTTGAAAATCTGTCCAACCACTTTAGTAGCAGAAGTGAGGTTCGAGAGAGTTAACGCACTGGCATTAGATGTTAAAATCTGGGCTTCTTGTGAAATAGTTGAAAAATTCATTGATGTGCCTATCTGTTAAAAACAACAACAACAAAAAAAACCACAAATCTAATTCTATACAACTACATTTAAACAGTTTTCAAGCAACTACAAATGAATAAGCTGGAATTTAGTTGAGCCTCAAGCAACTACAAATGAATAAGCTGGAATTTAGTTGAGCCTCAATCTCCATTTTTCATTATTTGTTTATTTTCTTGTATAAGTTACATAACAATTGTAAACTTACCTAACAAGTCTATGCTGTTACATATAATCATTTTTAATGGATTTGCATCTCATGATTTTGTTTTCATTTCATTTTGTAAGTTATTTATTTTTATTATATTTTACAAGATTATTGGTCTACAATGGGTTGAAAAATTTTAAAACTAGCTTTTCAGCACAGATAGTTTGGGCAGCACTGACCTAGACAATCTCAGGTAGCATCTGGCCCCCAGGCACAGCTGTGCACCTACAACATGTTAATACTGTCATTAGTGGGGCTGTGGGTCAACCTCTCTCTCTCTCTCTGTCTCTGTCTCTCTCTCTCTCACTCTCTCTTCACTAGATGGCAGCATCATTTCAAAAATCAAATCAAGGTCACAGGCTATTTAAGCTTGGGAAAGAGTTGGAAGCAATAGCCAATCAGTAGACAGAAACAATGCTCTCATTCAAGAGCCAGGTCCCTGCTGTGTGCTAAGTACTGCCAAATGTTTTACAGGCATTATTACATTGAATACACAAAACAACATTGTGAGTTGAGCATTCTCGTCCCTATTTAAAGCCTTGGAGAGGGTAAGGAGCTCACCCATAGTTCACGAAGAAGCGTAGAAGGGGAGAGCTAATAGTCAAACACTGGCTTGTCAGATTCCAGAACATGAAGTCTTTCCCACAGTTTGTGTGGCTAGCACAGCCTCTATGGCTGGCAGCCACCTCCACACCCTACTGCCCTCCTCACTCCCACCCCCACCCCTGCCCATCTATAATTAGGGAGCCAGTATGGTGCAGTGTGGACCTGAAAATCAAAAGCAGTCTTATCACGTTAGGCTGTGATTTACCAGGTAAAATACTGCACCTCTCAGAGCCACCATTTCCTCATTCATAAAATGAGTACATTAATACTTATCTATAGGGGTGTTGCAGGAATTAAATATGATAAAAATAGTGTATATAAAATGTTCAGCACAGTATTTAGCATGCAGTCAGTGCTTAATAATTAGTGTTATTAGCTATAATTATCTATAATATGGGAATAACATCTAACTCTCAGAGGTTCTATAAAAACGAAATGAGATAATATGTAACATGCCTGGCACCTACAAGAACCACATAAAGTAACTTTCCTCTTCTGCCCCTCATTTAGTCCCAGGTGTTAGCAATGCCATGTATTTGCATTTGGGTATATCCTTAGTCAAAATAACTTAATTTGCATGAGAAAATATTTACTGAGATGTACTTCCTATTTCACCTGCTCATGGATACAGCCCTGAGACTACCAGCAGGTTCTGGAGTTTACTGTCTCAAAAGGTCTTTGGCCCTAGTTTTTTCTCTCTGTTTTGATCCAGTAGACCATTAAAATGCCTTCCTTTTGGTCTCAAGTGTCAGGGATCTATTTTTGGTCAAAACTTAACTGGTTTAAAAAGGTGAGGCCATTTAAAATGTGCCATAGTGCCTGGCTGGTGTGGCTCAGTGGCTAAGCATTGACCCATGCACCAAGAGGTCGCTGGTTCCATTCCCAGCCAGGGCACATGCCCAGGTTATGGGCCCAGTCCCCAGTGGGGGGCATGCAGGAGGCGGCCAATTGATGTTCTCTCTCATTGATGTTTCTATCTCTCTCTTCCTCTCCTTTCTTCTGTCTGTAAAATTAATAAAGAAAAAAATTTAAATAAAATGTGCTATAGATTATCATTTGCTGAAATTTGCCAAACCAAACCAACATGTTGAATTATCCTTTTTCACAAATAGATGTCAATTTAAAAAGGTGGGGGGTAGGGGGTGGTTAGTTACTAGTTTTTGCTATTTCTAATTTGAAAGTCTTAAAAAACGTTGATTTGACCATCAGGCTTTTTCCAGTTGTGCGTTACATGGGCATAGGGCATACCTCCTGCTCCAGGGTTTCCAGATTTAAAGAGCAATTTCCTAATATCGGCTCTTGTAACTTTATCACTCCATCTTCAGTAAGATTGCACAGCCGGGTTGCACGTGGCTTGCCCACTTTCATAAAAAGAAGAAGAAAGACAGTGTAGGCAAAGATGGCCCCAGCAACTGCATGCTCCTATACACCCTTTCACAGATATGGTGCAAATCAATGGTGTAGCTAATTTTTTAAATCAAGACAAATTATATAACTTAAAAAGCAGTCATTAACCTGATTAAACTCCAGGAGACAGAGTAAGCTGGAAAAATGAACCAATTGAAGAAGTAATAAAAGGAATTTACAACTGATTCATAGGTTTTCAGGAAAATTAGAACTATGTGAGGTAATACCATAAACTTTTCACATTGGCATCATAAGAGGGAGACAAATGCCCTACCAAGCCTCCCTTGATGTCTCTCCCAGGGACCCAGTACTAGTTGAAGGGATTAGAGATATAACCCAATATAGTGATTCGTGTGCCTAAACAGGGAGATGTTGAGAAAAGCACTTACCATTTGGGGTGTTTTTGTCACATGTTTGCAAGGAAGGTCCATATCTTCCCACTGTAATTTCGTCAAAAGTCAAATTCCCAGAGGTACTGTTTCCACAGAAATTAGCTCCAATAAAAATAAATTTCATTTTAAATTATATTATTTTTTCATTTTTTTTATTTTTTCATTCATTTTTCATTTTCATTATATTTCATTTTTTCATTTTAAATTATACTTTTCTTTTTCAAATTTTAAACCAGATTAAAACTTAAACGTTCAAAACCTATTCTAGTATAATTTGAAGGGTGATAGAAAGTTTATAGGACTCACTGGCCCACCTTCATACTTACTTATCTGGTTATTACCATTAAAATAACTAATAGTTTACCTAAAAGATTCCAGTTAAAATATGCACAATTATAACTTGACAGAGGTGGGATGTGATCACTAACACATCAGCAAGGACACTGTATCAAGTTAGTTGAAATCTTGAAAACTTAGAGTCTATAGTAGCAAAGAACATCATGAGGATGTGGCTGGTAGGAATGTAGGAAATAGAAGGAATATGTTTCTGGGAACTCTGGATCCTAAGCAGACAGCATGAATGTGCAGAGTGTTCAGAAGCACACTGCAGATCAATAAGTGACCTTGAACTTTGATTCTGAGGTACCATCGATTAAGTCAAACCACTAAATTAATAACATCTCTTCAAGTGAAAGAGAGAAAAGGTAAAAACTTCATCTAAGTATATACTTAGATAGAAATGGGGGGTCTTTTTTTTTTTTTTTTTAGTTCCAAAAGACCTAAATATAAATTTATTTAGCAATATTTATCTGGAACATTATTATTTATGAAAATGTATCCCTGGAAATTTGAATATTCTTGTAGTTTTTTAAATTAATTCATTTATTTTTGTTACAGATGTTTCTCCATTTCCCCCCACTAATTCCCTCCTCCCCCTCCATCCCCACCCTGTCCCCACCTTTGTTGTCCATGTCCATTGTTCATGCACATATGCATATAAGTTCTGTGGTTTATCTCTCCCCCACCACTCCCTCTTCTGGGGATTGTCAGTCTGTACCCCACTTCCACGTCTCTGGGAATACCCCATTCCTCAGACTGTTATGTTCATTATATTCCACAAATAAGTGAGATCATATGATACATGTCTTTCTTTGTTTGGTTTGTTTTGCTTAGGATACTTTCCAGGTCCCTCCATGTCGTCTCAAAGGACAAGAGCTCTTTTTTTCTTACAGTTGCATAGTACTCCATTGTGTGTATGTACCACCACTTTTTTATCCATTCATTGACTGATAGACACTTGGGCTGTTTCCAGATCTTAGCTATTGTAAATAGTGCTGCTACAAACATGGAGGTACATATATTCTGATTGGTGTTTCAGGTTTCTTAGGGTATATTCCTAGAAGTGGGATCACTGGGTCAAATGACAGTTCAATTTTAAATTTTTCGAGGTAACACCATATTGTTTTCCATAGTGGCTGCACCAGTGTGCATTCCCACCAGCAGTGTATTAGAGTCCCCTTTTCTCCACACCCTCGCCAACACTTGCTGTTTGATGATTTGTTGATGGTGGCCATTCTGACAGGTGTGAGGTGATACCTCATTGTTGTTTTAATTTGTATCTCTCTGATGATTAGTGATGTTGAACATTTCTCCATATGTCTCTTGGCCACTTGTATGTCCTGTTTGGAGAGGTATCTATTTAGTTCCTCTGCCCATTTTTAAATTGGGTTCTTTGTGTTCCTTTTGTTGAGTTGTATGAGCACTCTATATATATATTGGAAATTAACCCCTTATCTGATATATCATTGGCAATTATGCTCTCCCATACAGTGGGTTGTCTTTCCATTTTAATGATTGTATCTTTTGCTGTGCAGAGGCTTTTGAGTTTGAAGTAGTCCCATGTGTTCATTTTCTCCTTTGTTTCTGTTGCCTTAGGTGATGTATCAGTGAAAATTCTGCTGCATATGTCTGAAATTTTGTTGCCTACAGTATCTTCTAGAATTTTTAGGGGTTCATGAGTCACATTTAAGTCTGTTATCCATTTTGAGTTTCATTTTTTTGCATGTAGCTGTCCAATTTTCCCAACACCATTTATTAAAGAGGCTGTCTTTACTCCACTGTATGCTCTTGCCACCTTTGTCAAATATTAATTGAGCATATTGCCTTGGGTCCATTTCTGGGTTCTCTATTCTGGTCCAAATGCTTGTTCTTGTGCCAGTACCAGGCTGTTTTGATTACAGTGGCTTTGTAGTAGAACCTGAAATCTGGTAATGTGATCCCTCCAACTTTGTTCTTCTTTTTCAAGATTGCTGTGGATATTCGAGGTCTGTTTTGGTTCCATATGAACTTTTGAAGTATTTGTTCTAGTTCTTTAAGTATGTTGTTGGTATTTAGATGGGGATTGCATTGAATCTACAGATTGCTTTGGGTAGTATAGACATTTTAATGATGTTAATTCTTCCAATCCATGAACAAGATATGTGCTTCCACTTTTTTATATCTTCCTCTATTTATTTTTTCAATGACCTGTAGTTTTCTGCGAATAGGTCCTTTATTTCCTTGGTTAAGTTTATTCTTTGGTATCTTAATTTTTTTTGCCGTGATGGTAAATGGGATTTTTTTTTTTTTAGTTTCTCCTTCTGTGAGTTCATCATTGATGTACAAGAATGCCATCGATTTCTTGATGTTAATTTTGTATCCTGATACTTTTCCAAATTCATTTATTAAGTCTAGTAAATTTTTGATGGAGTCTTTGGGGTATAGTATAGTATCACATCATCCGCAAATAATGACAGTTTCACTTCCTCCTTTCCAGTTTGGATCCCTTTTATTTTTTTCTTCCTGTCTGATTGCTGTGGCTAAGACTTCCAGTACTATGTTAAATAAGAGTGGCAAAAGTGGGCATCCCTGTCTTGTTTCTGTTCTTAAGGGAAATGCTTTTAGTTTTTGCCCATTGAGTATGATGGTGGCTGCAGGTTTTTCATATATGGCCTTTATTATGTCAAGATATGATTCCTCTATTCCCAGATTGCTGAGTGTTTTTATCAGAAATAGGTGCTGGATTTTGTGGAATGCTTTTTCAGCATCTATTGATATTCTTCATTTTATTTATGTGGTGTATCACATTTATTGATTTGTGAATATTGTACCAGCCTTGCATCCCTGGGATGAATCCCATTTGGTCATGGTGAATAATTTTTTTCATGAATTGCTGAATTTGATTAGCTAGTATTTGGTTCAGGATTTTGGCATCTATGTTCATAGGGATATTGGCCTGTAGTTTTCTTTGTAGTGTCTTTTTCTGGTTTTGGAATTAGAATTATGCTGGCTTCATAAAACGAGTTCGGAAATCTTCCTTCTTGCATTTTTTGAAATGGTTTGAGGAGAATGGGTATTAGTTCTACTTTGAATGATTGGTAAAATTCCCCTGTGAACCTTCCGGGCCTGGGCTTTTGTTTGCTGGAAGAGTCTCGATTACATGTTCAATTTCTTTTATTGTAATTGATCTGTTCAAATTTTCTATCTCTTCTCAGTTCAGTTTTGAGAGACCATGTATTTTCAGAAATTTGTCCATTTCATTTAGATTGTCAATTTGTTGCTGTATAATTGTTCATAATATTTGCTCACAATCCATTGTATTTCTGTGGTGTCAGTAATTATTTCTCCTCTTTCATTTTTTATTTTGTGTATTTGGGTTCTCTCTCTTCTTTCTTGGTGAGTCTAGCTAAGGGTCCATCAATCTTGTTTATCTTTTCAAAGAACCAGCTCTTTGTTTCATTGATCTTGTGAATTGTTTTTTTGGTCCCCATGTCATTTATTTCTGCTCTGATCTTTACTATTTCCTTCCTTCTACTAGTTTCGGGGTTTTCTTTTTGTTTGCTCTCTAGTTCTTTAAGTTGTGAGGTTAGATAGTCTATTAGAAATTTTTCTTGCTTCTTGAGGTAAAGCTGTAGTGCTATGAACTTCCCTCTCAGAACTGCTTTCACTGCATCCCATAGATTTTGTGTTGTTGTGTGTTCATTTTCATTGGTTTCCAGGAAGTTTCTAATTTCTTCCTTGATCTTCATGGTAATCCATTCATTATTCAGTAACATGCTATTTAGCCTGCATATTTTCAAATGTCTTTGCATGCTCTTGTTGCAATTCATTTCTAGTTGCATGCTATTGTGATCTGAGAAGATGCTTGATATGATTTCAATCTTCTTGAACTTGTAGATACTTTGTTTGTGCCCTAACAGGTGGTCTGTCTTTAAGAATGTCCCATGTGCACCTGAGAACAATGTGAATTCGGCAGTTTTGGGGTGTAATTCTCTGTAGATAACTATGAAATCCATTTTATCTAGCACTTCTTTTAGAGTCTGTCTTTCCTTGTTAATTTTTTGTTTAGAAGATCTATCCAGTGATGTCAGTGAGGTATTGAAGTCCCCTGCTATGATTGTATTACTGTTGATTGAGGACTTTAAATCCTCCAGAAGAATTTTTATATATGTTGGTGCTCCTATATTGGGTACATATATGTGTACCAAAGTTATATCTTCCTGTTGGATAGATCCTTTCAATATTATGTAGTGGCCTTCTTTGTCTCTAGTTATGGCCTTCATTTTAAAATCTACTTTATTAGATATGAGTATTGCTACCCCAGTTTTTTGTTTGTTTGTTTGTTTGTTTGTTTTTTGCTTTCTATTTGCTTGAAAGATTTGTTTCCATCCCTTCTCTTTCAACCTATGTTAGTCTTTTGTTGTGAGGTGGGATTTTTGTAAACAACATATATATGAGTCATGCTTGCTTATCCAGTCAGATACTCTGTGTCTTTTTATTGGAGCATTCAAACTATTCACATTTAAGGTGATAATAGACATGTACTTATTAGTTGCTATTTTTGTTTAGTGTGGTTTTATTTTTCTTCCTGTTTCTTCTACTAAGTTACAGCAGTCCTTATACCATATTTTGCAGTGCTGGTTTTGTGTTAATATATCCCCTTCGCCTTTTTTTGTCTAGAAAGCTCTTTATATGACCTTTTTTTTTTAATGATAGCCTTGCTGGATAGAGTAGTTTGGATTCAGATCTTTGTTTTTCATGACCTTGATTACTTCATGCCACTCCTTCTGGCCTGTAGTGTTTCTGTTGAGAAGTCAGCTGAGAGCCTTATGGGGTTTCCTTTGTAGGTAACCTGTTGCTTATCTCTTGTTGCCTTTAGAATTCTCACTTTGTTTTTAATTTTTGGCATTTTAATTACTATGTGTCTTGGTGTGTGCCTGTTTGGGTTCTTCTTACTTGGGGCTCTCTGTGCTTTTTGAACTTGAATGCCTTCTTTCTTCACCAAGTCAGGGAAGTTTTCTGTCACTATTTCTCCAGATATATTCTCTAACCCTTGCCCATTTTCTTTCTCTTCAGGGACTCTTATGAGGTAAATTTTATTACATTTCCAGTTGTCCCACAGTTCTCTTAAGCTGTCTTCCTGTTTTTTAATTGTTTTTTCCTTTCGGTTTTCTGATTGGTTGATTTTTTCTACCCTGTCTTCTAGTTCACTGATCCGGTCCTCAGTTTCCTCTACTCTGCTGGTTAGTCTTTCCAATGTGTTCTTAATTCCTGCTGTGTCATCCTTCATTTCCACTTGGTTGGTTTTCAATGTTTCTATATCTTGACTCATGGTGCTGATAACCTTACTCATGCTGTTGAGCTTCCTCCAGATCATGGCTCTGAACTTTACCTCTGATAATTTGCTTAGCTGCATTTCATTGATCCCATCTTCGATAGAGTTCTCTTGTTCTTTCATTTGATATTTGTTTCTTTGTTTCACCATTTTGGCTATCTCAGTGGGCTTTGGAGCCTGCCAAATTTTCCCTGTGCGTGTTGGTGTTCTGCTATTTGTGGCTCCCTCTACTGGGTTTGGATGAACCTTGGTGGGCCCATGTTAAACACCACTGTCAAGTCTTACTTTCCTGGGTAGATTTGCCAGCCCAGGAAATGTTCTGTTATCCTCTAGCTTTTTCATAGTGGCTAGTAGTCTCCGTTACTCACTGCCTTGAAATGTAGCCCTGGTATTCATTGTCCCTGGTTATATGGTCCTGTCCTGCTGCTTTTATGTTGCTTTTTTCCAAGGATTTGTCTCTATTTTAGTTGTAATTCCCATTAGATCCTGGGAGATCATTTGAGTAGCTTCTATTCACTGCACCTCCATTTTCACATCCTCTATGCCTATCTTGTGCACAGCTGGTTGCACAGGCCTTTCTGGTACCTCTGCACCCTGCAGGTCCCGTGGGTAACTGGATGGCACAGTCCCTGCTGGGTCGCACAGGCCTCTCTGGTGCTTCAGCATCCCACAGGTCCCCTGGGTATCTGGATGGCACAGTCCTTGCTGGGTTGCACAGGCCTCTCTTTTGCTGAAGCATCCCACAAGCCCTGTGAGTAACTAGATTGCACAGTCCCTGCTGGATTGCACAGTCCTCTCTGGTGCTTCAGCACCCTGTAGATCCCATGGGCAATTGGATGGCACAGTCCCTGCTGGGTCTCACAGGCCTCTCTGGTGCCCCTGCACTCTGCAGTTCCTGGGGGCGGGCAGGTGGATTAAACCAGTCTCTCTGGGGCTCAGGCTTCCCACTGCAATTGTGAGTTGCTGGACCGCACAGGCCTCTGTGGAGCCCCAGGTCCCACTGCTGGGGCTGGGGAATGCTGCTGCCCAGTAGGGCTCAACTCCTGCTCAGCTTTTGTTGTAGTTTTGGGGGATGCTTCTCAGCTGCTGGTCTGTGCTTCTGTTGTGTGGGGATGGATGTCTGCTTTCCAGCCTCTGTTGCTGGGGGTATATCTGGACTCTGATTGGACTGCTACTATGAGGGATGGTGCCGGGCTCCAGGCTGTCTGTGGCTTCCATGACCAGCACCTTGGGAGCTCCACTCCTGTAAACTGGTCTGTGTTGACACAGAGTGTCCACTGGTCTGATAGTGCCAGGTGTACTGGTGAGTTCATGTTGCTGGGTCCTAGCCGCTCCCACTGCCTCCTCCCAGGGAAGAGCCGGGATCTTCCAGAATGGTGGGGCCTCCCTGTGGCACAGGTAGAAGTGCCCTGAAGGGCCACTTACTGAGGTAGCTGGCTACTTCTGTCCACAGCATAGGAACTATCTGCTCTGAGGCTCTGCCCTGCTCGGGTTTGGTCATCCACCTTCATGTCTACTCACGCTGTCTCACACACTCGCTCACTCTCTCACACACTTACCCTCCCTCCTGAAATGTGCATCTTGATTTCAGAAGAGTTAAATGTGTTAGAACTGTGATATCTGAAATGGTATGATATGGCTTATCACCAGTTGAAAGGACCTGAGAAAACCATATCACCCAATACCCTGTATTAGACACTGCATCCAGAAGAAAAAGCAATGGCAAGTTTACAGAGAACTTGGTAGTTGGGAAACAGACAAGATGTATTGAACATACAGGTTAATAGTCCAAGAAGAAAACTTAGCTTTTGCTATTGAGCTAATAAATACATCTTATAGCCATCATTACTATGCCCATTGTTACTATAATCATTAACAGAAGCTTCGAGAATCTTTGTTGCTCTCCTTATTAAAATAAGTCATCTAAACTTCATGCCCTAGTATTATCCCATGAAACTTACCAATTGTACATCTCAATCCTTTCCACTTTTCTGGACAAGTACATCTACCATTTCCCCAAGTTCCATTATTCCTGCAGAACCCTGTAGGAATGCTTGGTGTGGGGTCAGGTGTTCCTTCAATAAAAAAAATACAATAAATAACAGAATGGTATATGAAGTGGCTGATTAGTTTCTCCTTTTGGGTCTGTGGCCTTTAATTTCCATTTGTAAAATAATTAATTTGAGTAGCATTTCTGAGAAATATTCTTTGTAATATCATCACAGGGTAGAGAAGGCTAACTAGGTATCATAGATACTAAAAAAAACATATTTAAAAGTTACAACACCCTGACCAAGAAGATGAGAATTTACTTAGGGAAACAGATGAGAAGAGAAAGAGAGATAAAAAGAAAGAGGATAAATACATGATTGATTGATAGATGATAGATAGATAGATAGATAGACAGAACAATAAACTCAAAATGCAAATTTGCAAGTGCTATACAAATATAGAAGAGATGTTTTTGTTTTTGTTTATTTATTTATTTATTTATTATTCCTCCTGATGTTTATTGATTTATTTATATTTAATTAATTAATTTATCTTTGTTACAGATGTTTCTCCTTTTTCCCCCACTGATTCTCCCCTCCCCCTCCAGCCCTCCCCACCCCGGCCCCAGCGTTGTTGTCCATGTCCATTGTTCATGAATACATGCACATAAGTTCTGTGGTTTATCACTCCCCCACCACCCACTCTTCTGGGGATTGTCAGTCTGTACCCCACTTCCACATCTCTGGGATTACCCCGTTCCTCAGACTGTTATGTTCATTATATTCCACAAATAAGTGAGATCATATGATACTTGTCTTTCTCTGTTTGGCTTGTTTCACTTAGGATAATACTTTCCGGATCCCTCCATGTCATCGCAAAGGATAAGAGATCTTTCTTTCTTACAGCTGCATAGTACTCCATTGTGTATATGTACCACCACTTTTTTATCCATTCGTCTACTGATGGACATTTGGACTGTTTCCAGATCTTAGCTATTGTAAATAGTGCTGCTACAAACATGGGGGTACATATATTCTTTCTGATTGGTGTTTCAGGCATCTTAGGGTATATTCCTAGAAATGGGATCACTGGGTCAAATGGAAGTTCAATTTTTAATTTATTGAGGTAACACCATATTGTTTTCCATAGTGGCGGCACCAGTCTGCATTCCTACCAGCAGTGTACTTTTCAAAGGCTTTTTCGGCATCTATTGATTCTTCATTTTATTTATGTGGTGTATCACATTTATTGATTTGCAAATATTGTACCAGTCTTGCATTCCTGGGATGAATCCCACTTGGTCATGGTGAATAATTTTTTTTATGTATTTCTGGATCCGATTTGCTCATATTTTGTTCAGGATTTTGGCATCTATGTTGATCTGGGATATTGGCCTGTAGTTTTCTTTCTTTGTAGTGTGTTTTTCTGGTTTTCAAATTAGAAATATGCTGGCCTTATAAAACAAGTTTGGAAGTCTTCCTTTTTCTTGAATTTTTTGAAATAGTTTGAGGAGAATGGGTGTTAGTTCTTCTTTGAATGTTCAGTAATACTCCCCCGTGGAGCCATCCGGGCCCGGGCTCTTATCTGCTGTGAGAGTCTTGATTACATCTTCAATTTCCTTAGTTGGTATTCGTCTGTTCAAGTATTCTTTTACCGGTCTAGTTTTAGGAGACTCTGTTTCTAGAAAATTGTCCATTTCTCTTAGATTGTTGAATTTTTGGCCATATAATTGTTCGTAGTACTTGTTAACGATCTTTTGTATTTCTGTGGTGTCTGTAGTTACTTGTCCTCTTTCATTTCTGTTTTTGTGTATTTGGGTTCTCTCTCTTTGTTTCTTGGTGAGTCTAGCTAAGGGTCCATCAATCTTGTTTATCTTTTTGAAAAACCAGCTCTTTATTTTATTGATCCTTTGAATTGTTTTATTGGTCTCCATGTCATTTATTTCTGTTCTGATCTTTACTATTTCTTTCCTTCTACTAGTTTCGGAGTTATCTTTTTGTTTGCTCTCTAGTTCTTTAAGTTGTGAAGTTAGATAATTCTATTAGAGATTTTCCTTGTTTCTAGAGGTAGGCCTGTAGTGCTATGAACTTCCCTCTCAGAACTGCTTTTGCTGCATCCCATAGATTTTGTGTTGTTGTGTGTTCATTTTCATTAGTTTCCAGGAAGTTTTTAATTTCTCCCTTGAACTCCTCAGTAACCCATTCATTGTTAAATAACATGCTATTTAGCTTCCATGTTTTCAAATGTCTTTGCATGTTCTTGTTGCAATTTATTTCTAGTTCCATGCCATTTTGATCTGAGAAGATAATTGATATGATTTCAATCTTCTTGAACTTGTAGAGACTTAGTTTGTGTTCTAACACGTGGTCTATCTTTGAGACTGTCCCATGTGCACTTGACAAGAATGTGAATTCTGTAGTTTTGGGGTGTAATTCTCTGTAGATATCTATGAAATCCATTTGGTCTAATGCTTCATTTAGAGTCTCTGTATCCTTGATAATTTTTTATCTAGAGGATGTATCCAGTGATGTCTGTGGGGTGTTCAAGTCCCCTGCTATGATTTTATTGCTATCAATTTCTCCTTTGAAGTCTTACAGAAGATTTTTAATATAATTCGGTGCTCCTATATTGGTTGTATATATGTTTATCAAGGTTATATCTTCCTGTTGGATAGATCCTTTCATATTATGTAGTGGGCTTCTTTGTCTCTAGTTATGGCCTTCATTTTGAAATCTATTTTATCAGATATGAGTATTGCTACCCCAGCTTTTATTTCATTTTCTTTTGCTTGGAAGATTTTTTTCCATCCCTTCACTTTCAGCCTATATGAATCTTTTGTTGTGAGGCAGGTCTCTTGTAAACAACATATAGATGAGTCATGCTTTCTTATCCAATCAGCTACTCTGTGTCTTTTTTTTTTTTTTTGGAGCATTCAATCCATTTACATTTAAGGTGATTATTGATATGTATTTATTTATTGCCATTTTTGTTTAGTGTGGTTATATTTTTCTTCCTATTTCTTCTGCTAATTACAGCAGTCCTTTTAACATTTCTTACATAGCTGGTTTGGTGCTAATGTATTTCCTTAGACTTTTTTTTTGTTTGGGAAGCTCTTTATTTGACCTTCTATTTGGAATGATAGCTTTTCTGGGGAGAGTAGTCTTGGATTCAGATCCTTGTTTTTCATGACCTTGATTATCTCATGCCATTCCCTTCTGACCTATAGTGTTTCTGTTGAGAAGTCAGCTGAGAGCCTTATGGGGTTTCCTTTGTAGGTAACCTGTTGCTTATCTCTTGCTGCCTTTAGGATTCTTTGTCTTTAAGTTTTGGCATTTTAATTACTATGTGTCTTGGTGTGGGCCTGTTTGGGTTCTTCTTATTTGGGGCTCTCTGTGCTTCTTGAACTTGAATGCCTTCTTCCTTCACCAAGTCAGGAAAGTTTTCTGTCACTATTTCTTCAAATATATTCTCTAACCCTTGCTCATTTTCTCCTTCTTTGGAGACTCCTATGATGCAAATATTATTACATTTCCTGTTGTCCCTCAGTTCTCTTAAGCTGTCTTCCTGTTTTTTTCCTTTGGTTTTCTGATTTGTTGATTTTTTCTACCCTGTCTTCTAATTCACTGATCCGGTCCTCCGCTTCCTCTACTCTGCTATTTAAACCTTCCAATGTGTTCTCTACCTCTGATATGTCATTCTTCATTTCTTCTTGGTGGTTTTTAATTTCAACTGGTTGATTTTCCACATTTCTGTGTCTTTACTGATGGTGCTCATGTCCTTACACATGCTGTTCGGCTTCCTCAAGATCATGGCTTGAATTCTAGTTCTGTTAACTTTATTAACTGCACCTCATTTATCTCATCTTTGGTAGAAGTCTCTTGTTCTTTTATTTAGTTTTTGTTTCTATGTAACACATTTTGGCTATCACAGTGGGCTTTGGAGCCTGCCAAATTTTCCCTGTGGGTGTTGGTGTTCTGCTTTTTGTGGCTCCCTCTCCTGGGTTTGGATGAGCCAGGGAGGACCCAAGTTAAACACCACTGTCAAGTCTTCTTTTTCTGGTTAGAGTTGCTATCCCAGGAATGGTATAGTTATCCTTTAACTTTTTGCCTGGAGGCTATCAGCAGTGGGTTACCTGAAGAGACTTGTTTTCTCAGTTGAATGAAAAACTCCCTCAGGTGCTCTGTGTAAGGGGATTTCCTGAAGGTGGGGCAGAAGCTGTTTGTTAATGGGCCTTATTTTGCATTTCAATGGCTACTGGGTGGGGTTGAATCTCAGAGGGAAGAGCTGTTGCCTCTCCCCAGAGTCCTGGGAAGGAGTAAGATGACCACAGTTTTGCATGGCTGCAACTCAGCAAAAGCTCTGAGTGCCCTCCAAATCCCAAGTATCCCCACACAGTTCCAGTCCAGCATGCCCTCCCTCTGCAGGAGCCCAATGTAAGTGGCTGCGGCGATTTTAACCTCTGTCCCAGCTCTGTGCTGTGGAGTCATTTGGGAGTGTAACCTGAGGGCACTGCTCACAGCTAAGGCCACTGCAGACCCTGGATTCCCAGCCCCCCTCTCATGTCTCTGCAAGCCTACCAGGATTGAGTCAATGTCCCTGGTTATGTGGTCCTCCAAGCTGCTTTTTTGTTGCTTTTTCCTGACAATTTGTCTTTATTTTTGTTGTAATTCCAGTTTGGTCCTGGGAGATGGTCTGTGTAGCTTCCATTCACTCTGCTGCCATTATAGAATCCCTTGTTTTTATTTTTTATTAATTTATTTTTGTTACAGATGTTTCTCCTTTTTACCCCAATGACACCCTTTTTCCCATTCCCCCTCCCCATCCTCAGCTTTGTTGTCCATGTCCATCAGTTATGCGTACATGCATATAAGTTCTGTACTTTATCTCTTCCCTCCCTCCCACACTGTCTTCTGAGGGTTGTCAGTCTGTACCCCACTTCCATGTCTCTGGGTCTATCCTGTTCCTCAGACTGTTATGTTCATTATATTCCACAAATAAGTGAGATCATGTGATATTTGTCTTTCTCTGCTTGGCTTGTTTCACTTAGGATAATACTCTCCAGGTCCCTCCATGTGGTCTCAAA